GGGCGGGGAGGGGGACGAGGACGGGGGGTACGACGAGGACGGTGGGGACGACATGGGCGGGGACGGCGGGGACGACTGAGGGGGCGAGGGGGGGGGGAGCTGCACGTGAGAGCGCGCGGCCGGATCGTGTTTGTGAGCGGCGGGGACTAACCTGCGGCGCGGACCACTTTGCGCACGCAGTGCTCTGCTAGTCTTCATATTGGCTTGGCAGCGGCAACGACATGAATTAGCAGAGCCGCGATCTAGGCGTATTGCACGCGCCAACACGCGCAAAGCTTTTCGGCAGGCCGCCTTGGCGCAGCCTCCTCGCACCACAGCTTTTGCATCCCTTTGCATAGCGCAATCCGCTCTCTGTGAAAGGGGCGCGCGGCCGCTGCGTGGCGCCCACCTGCCCCTGGTCTCCAGCCACAGCTGCTTATGTTTTAAGCCGCCTCCTGACCTCCTCCTCGTGTTTCCAGGGTTGCTTGCCCTGACAGTGAACCCCGTGTACAGTTGCCAAGGAAACCTGTAATACTCAAGTCATCCTGTTCTCGCTGCTTGCGGGCCTCCTGTCTGCGGCAGCGGCGGCATCACGGGCCCAGGCAGCCCCCGGCAAGCGGCTGCACCGCATGCACCCCAATGCCTGCCATGCTATCTAGATGCTTGCAGGGCCAATGACAATGATCCTTCAAGGGGCCCATTTGCCTGTTGTTTCCCTGCTGCAAGATCCTCTATGCGCAAACTCAAAAACGGTCTGGGTGTGTGCACCAAACGATGGTGAACCTTGGCTTGAAAGGTACATAGCAAGATTCGTTGGTGTGTCCCATTCAAGAACCAAAACCATAAACCCTGTTAATCGGCCGCACCAGACGCCAGGCGTCAGGCTGGATGATCCCGCAAAGCCTCGTCTAGCAGGCTGCACCATCATGCACAGGCCTGATGGCGCAGCCGGGCGGTGTTGAAGGGCGCCAATCCGGGTTCAAGGGCGTGCCCACAAACGCGGAATGTGCACAACACTGCGTCGACAATGAAATCAGAGCAGGACACACAGGAGGGGCAGTGGCCCCCAATCGGAGTTCTGAACGTGCTTGTAACTGCCGGAAGCTGCCAAGCAGCCGGGAGACGGCGCTCCTCGGGCGCAATGCAGGCCTGGACGGCGCGGGCGTGCTTCAGCTGCACGCACATCGTTGCGAATTAGGGATTAAAAAGCAGCGTCAAGCCTGCTATCAATTGATGCGGCATACAGGGCGCCTTTGGCGCCGCCGCAGCCAAACAGGCGCTAAAACACACATGCACGTACCCCACAAAAAAGACGCACGCACATGCATGTTGTGGACACTGAACCGTGCATGCCTGAGTATACACCACCTGACAAAGGAACAACGCATGAGGCCACCACCAACACCAACAGTCACAACTGTGCAGCAGTGACAGTGCACGGCGCATCTTCTGTGCTTGGTATTTGCACACATGAAATGCTTCCTTGTCGTGCGCAGGTCAGCAGGACGCGCAAAGTACGGCCAGTGTGTGGCGCCGCACGGCGCAAAGAGCGCAGCGAGCTGCGACCGCAGCGCGCGGTAGAACGCTTGCTGCAGCCAAATAAAACTTGGCATAGCAAATATACAGCACAAACATAAATCAAGCGCATCATCCAGTACTAACGGCTGCGAAGCGCGTGCTCAGAACCCCGCGGCTTGGTGAGCAACGGGGCTCAGGCTGCAGCGCCGCCGCCGCCGCCGTCGCCGCCCTCGCCGCCGCAGCCGCGCCTGACGCACACCCACTTGAACCGCGCCTTGTCACCCCCCACCCAGGCCGTCGACGTGACGTGCAGCTCCATCGGCCCGTCACCCGGTGACGCCCCGCCGTCACCCGGCGACCCCGGGGCGTCCCGGCCGCCGCCGGCCGCCCCTGGCCGCCCGCCGCGGCGCGGCGCGGCGGGG